TTTTTTTCAAAATTGGTATTGCTAAGCAATTTGAAATTTTCATTGTTTTGAAAATCAATGCTATACCTTTTTGAGACTTTTTATTTTATGTTTCTTTTCTCCTACATTATTTCATGTATTTCTTTTTACTATTTCTTTCATCTTCATATTTTATTTCCCATTTCATTTTGATTGAAGTCAACATTGGATGACTTATTTTCAGCATTTCATATTTCCAAATGTATGCCTTTACAAGCTCCTCTTTCTTTTACATGCCACTTTCATTTTTAGGCAAGTCTTAGAAACCAACACTATGTGATCATGGAATGTGTACTTGTACTGTCACCAGTGAGTTACGTAAATACACAAAGACTTGTCTTTCACTGAAATCTGTTAAGGACACCATGTTCTGAAGGGGTGAGGATTGATATGGTGATCTGCAAGAGAAGTCATGAAACAGAATGAGAAAAGTGACATCGAAGTGTGTGTCTATGTTGTACTATGTCATAGGAGGCTCATTAAGGCCTTGAGGAGACAGCACCTAGTAAGAGTGTGTTCCAGTGAGCTTAGGCTTCTCCTTTTGTATTTGTTTTATAATTTATTCAGAAAAGAAATATTAATTATGCAACTACTACATTACAGACACTGCCCTAATGAGTTGGCATATAACCATGAAAAAGGGTTATAGTCTCTGCCTTCATGGGACGAATATCCTTACAAAATAAGAGAAAACCAATAAATACAATATAATTTAAGTAGGTATAAATGTTAGGAACCAAGGTAAAGCAAGCTAAGAAAACAGAGTTGGAAGCATGACCTTTTAAATCCAATGGCCAGAAAAGTCTTGTTTGAGGCCTAGATGTTTGAGGAGGGATATATGAAGTGAGGGAACAAAACTCTGAAAGGTGTCAGAGAACAATGTTCCAGGCTTTATGAGTAGAAAAGGCAAAATCCCTGAGATAAAAGTGGGCTTAGAATTGAGAAATGGCACAAAGTACATGCCTTGAGTGAAGGGGAAAAAGGAGTGAGTGGAAAGAGATGTGTTTGAAGAGTAATTCCAGGGCAATAGACCTTCTTGAGAAGTTTTTATCAAATACTGTGAATAAAAAAGAAAAAGGGAAGAATGTATTAGTAAAGTTTTATTCCATGAAGTACATTTGTCAGTAGGTAGTTCCTACTGTACACTTGTGTTTTCTATGTGGATTACAGAAAGAGATTATAGGTTAATGCTTTAAAATATGTGAGTGGAAGTGAGAGGCAAGTACAGAGAGAAGACAGAAAGAAAGCTGGTGACAGAAAGAGACAGAGAGACAGAATGAGATGAGAGAGAGAGAGAGAGAGGATTGATTTATAAAGTAATGAAGAGTTCAGGATTGGATCTGAGCCAATAAATCAGGCATTCACCAGGGAGTTTGAAATTTAATTTAAAAACAAAAAATCATACAAATTATTGATGGTAAAAATGAATTATTTGGTAAAATTAAGAACCAATGAAGAATTTTTGTTCTCCAGTCTATGTAGGGAGAAAGGAATTGCAAAACAAATTTGAAGTGCCTTTTAGTTAAGCTGTGCCAACGTGTCATAGATACAGCAGTTCCTATCCCAATGGAATTAGAGTTTGAGTGAAAACATAAATACCTTGTCTTCAGCATGCTAAATTGTGCACTCATGCAGGTGCCAAAAGGTGTTCAAAATGATGCTTGTTAGAGATTTAGAGATCAAGGTAAGTCATATCAAGACTCAGCTGCAAAATACAATAGGAGAGATGGCGAAAGGCTTATGTCAATCTTATAAGGAGAGATAGAGGACAAACAGTGTATGAAGAGAGAAAGCACAATCATACTCATGATCTCCCAAGACTACACATGCTTTTCTACATTCACATATACTTTGACCATGCAAAATTTCACACATGAAACCAACAAGACTGCAAAGCTGATGAGGAAGGTGATGTAGCGATATATCCTATAGCTCTTTTTTTCTGAATCTTATGTACAGGAGCTCAAATGTGATAGCAAGAGGGCAAGACTTTTTTCTGTTTTTTGTAGAATAGCATTAAGTATAGTAAAGATAATCAGTAAATACATATTTAATAATTACATTTTTAAAGAAATGAATTCTAAACATGGACCTGAGGAATAGAGTCTTTTAAAAATAGAATCCATATTTAAGGTGATAAAGAAGCTGATAAAGGAAATGAGGTTTGATGCTGGAGTGATGGGCATGAGACTGAGGGATTAAGCAGATATAAAATTAAAACATGCACATTTTCTCTTCTGCTTACCCTCATCTGACATGGGACATAAAACGAGGTGTGTATGAAGACTTTGTAAAGGTTATTGGATTAAGGTGCTGTAAAAAAATATAAGGTTAGAGAAAATGTCTGCCAGATATAACTCTATGTAAACCTTAGTCTTAGAAGGTCAAACAAAGGTGCTGGAGCCTAGTTTTATTTCTGAACCCAACACACATTGGAGATTATACAAATGCATCTTGGAATAATAGGTCAGCATACAGTCGTTGACTAAGAGACTGGATGTTTTGAGAAATGTTTGTAGACTTGGAAGAGATCTTTTCTCAAATAAAATTCCCAGTTATAAAACTCACTTGGAAAACTCCACAAAATATGTGTGATAAATTGATTTTTATGATATATAGCCTTATTTTTTCTTGATGAGTTTCTGTTGTACCAAGAGTGACTAAGATACCAGATATCCCTGAGAACGTACACAGACTTCAGTGGACATTTTACTGTATCGCTGTAAAAAATAATGCAGAAGACCAAGGTTCCAGGCTTTTGTCCTGGCTGGACAATTTATTTCTTTTCCTCACTTTGTCCTTGTTTTTTTCTTTATAGAGCCTAATATATATGTTATTATATAGAGAGAATAAAATATACAATATATAATTATATACTACACAATAGTATATATAACATATATAAAGGGATTTCCCTTTAAGTCATAGCCAAAGCCCAACTTCTTCCCTGGGATTTTCATTGCCCCATCTCTATACCCACAACATTTGATGTGTGTTTCTATCATAGCACTTGCAATGCAGCTTTCAAATTTCTTCTTTGGGATTGCACTCTGTTTACACTGTGGTTTTTTTTTCCAAGAAATTTTGCCTTATTTTTCTAAAACAAAATTAAACTTCTCTATATCCCATGCTATCTGATGACAGAAAACATCTTTCCATTCAGTTTCAACAGAGACCATGAGCAATTGATGGAAATTGCTTTCACATTCCAAAATGAGATATGGATCCACTATTCTAAGGGAGGTGGGTTGCTGCATTGTGGTCTTTTTGAGTGTTTGACAGATATTACTGAAATGAATGCTGTCTGGCAAATATAGGACCTCTTACATATTTGATGGATTAAATTGTGAAGTGTACTCTTACACATCCCTCATGTATTATTCACTAATGGGGAAAGAAAGGATTGGATCCTTTTTTTTGTACTTTAGATTCTGGGGTACATGTGCAGATATGGAAGATGGTTGCATAGGTACATTCATGGCAAGGTGGTTTGCTGCCACCATCCCCTCATCACCTATACCTGACGTTTCTCCCCTCCCCACACTCCCTCCCACTATCCTTCTCCTACCCTCCCCCAATGGACCCCAGTGTGTGATGCTCCCCTCTCTGTGTCCATCTATCTTTGACTTTTTTTTATTACAGATCTGAAAACTTTAAACCTATTCTCAACAGCCTCAATAACCATATATATATTCGCTTTCTTGAAAGAATTTCCCAGATTTTCACTGATTTCTGCTAACCATCATTTGCTTCAAATGGGTAGGTTTTGTTTAGACACTTCTCTTGTTACAGGTTTAAAGTAGAGTGAATTGATCTTATTTTCTCCTCATGGAGACCAATCAGCACTGACTTCTTTGAGCCTCCATATATTCTCAAATCTGAATCAAAATGTTCTGTGCATTTGTGCAATTCATGGCCAGTCACTTCCACATTATCTGTAGAGCTAGATTTAGGAAAGAATTTGCTCAATAATAAACATTTCTCAGATTGATTTTTGAAAAAATTAATTTATTATAAATGAGTGCAGAATTTTTCCACAGACAGGAAGAGTGTTACAAAACAAAATCATATAAATTCTTTTCTTTCTGTGCTGTGAAAAGCGAGGTTTCATAAAGACACTAACACACCAGATGGAGAACAGCATTGATAGGAAATATGTTGTAGAATAAAGTCATTCTCCCTGTCCATGTAAATCTGAGATAATGTTTAATTGTGTAGCAGAAAAAAAACCCTCTCTCTGTTTCTTTAATGCCTGTGTTTTTTAGTGGTTCTATATACGGTGCAATTATGTAAATTAATCTTTCATTCCATTTTTAATTAAATGCAAGATACTTTCCATTAATTATCTGCCTTTTATTTTCTTTACCCAATTTCCAAAAAGATTGGATACATTTTTCTTTTTGCAAAGAAGTTGTCATGATCAGGGAGTTATTTTCTGAAACATCACATTAAAATTTTTTGCTGTCTTGTTTTCAATTTATTAACTTAATTAACATTTAAAATTGAGAAGTCTTAAGTGATAAATAAAAAATAGACCTTTTTCTCTCTGCTTTAAAAGTAGACCCACTAGTACTCTAAAATTAATTTACAAATGCATAGACCCACACACACATTCAGTGCACAAATACAACCTTTAGTAAGGGACTAAGATAGATTACAAATAACAAAAATCTCTGAAAGTTAAGAGAAATGGGTGTAAAACTATCAGACTCACATATTCTGAAAGCTTATTTTTTAAATCAGTTTCTGCCTAGACTCCCTATTATAAATTTCTCAGGCAGATAGAGATTTCTCCACACTTTGTTCCTTATGTGTAATAAATTCTGGTAGGAAAAGTGGCAATCCAGTTAAGCTGATTTTACTATTGGTTGTGCTTCATGCTCATATGAGCTCAGCAGAATAAGGGGTATTTTACTCTTTTTCAGAGAGAAACCAAAAAACAGTACATTGTTATTTTTTATTTTACCAGGAATCAGGATAAAGTGAGAACTGGAGCAAGAATCACTAATGGAAAGTCAGTAATTGTCACTGATATGCACAACAGCATTATGTGACAGAAACAATGCCTATAGCTAATGACACCCAGTTCCATCCTTCTTCATTCCTACTGCTGGGCATCCCAGGGCTAGAAGATGTGCACATCTGGATTGGAGTCCCTTTTTTCTTCGTGTATCTTGTTGCACTCCTTGGAAACGCTGCAGTCTTGTTTGTGATCCAGACTGAGCAGAGTCTCCATGAGCCTATGTACTACTTCCTGGCCATGTTAGATTCCATTGACCTGGGCTTATCCACAGCCACCATCCCCAAAATACTGGGTATCTTCTGGTTCAGCCTCAAGGAAATATCTTTTGGAGGCTGCCTTTCTCAGATGTTCTTCATCCATTTCTTCACTGTCATGGAGAGCATTGTGTTGGTGGCCATGGCCTTTGACCGCTACATTGCCATTTGCAAACCCCTTCGATACACCATGATCCTCACCAGCAAAATCATCAGCCTCATTGCAGGCATTGCTGTCCTGAGGAGCCTGTACATGGTCATTCCACTGGTGTTTCTCCTTCTGAGGTTGCCCTTCTGTGGGCACCATATCATCCCTCATACTTATTGTGAGCACATGGGCATTGCCCGTCTGGCCTGTGCCAGCATCAAAGTTAACATTATGTTTGGCCTTGGCAGCATTTCTCTCTTGTTATTGGATGTGCTCCTTATTATTCTCTCCTATGTCAGGATCCTCTGTGCAGTCTTCTGCCTTCCCTCCTGGGAAGCTCGACGCAAAGCTCTCAACACCTGTGGCTCTCACATTGGTGTTATCTTAGCCTTTTTCACACCAGCATTTTTTTCATTCTTGACACATCGTTTTGGCCATAACATCCCACAGTATATCCACATTTTCTTGGCTAATCTATATGTGGTTGTTCCACCAGCCCTGAATCCTGTAATCTATGGAGTCAGGACCAAACAGATTAGGGAGAAAGTGCTGAGGATTTTCTTCAAGACAGATCACTAACCAACTGAAGTTTGGAGGGTCTCTGTTAGCATTCATTCTTGATTCCCCCATTTTTAAAAAGCAAAGTTATCTTATTTCTGATACAGTAAAGAAAAAAAAAGGAAGGTAGAGTGGAATATCACAACCAATAACTTTATTTATCTGTGAATTGAAGCTTTTGCTTTTAAGGGCAGTTATTTACATATTAGAATTTTTATAAACCCTACTTTTTCAGGTTTTAAAAATGTTCATTTCTGGATCCTCAAGACAGTCCTTATAAAGTATATATTATTTTTTTCACTTTCGTAATGAATATCTTGATATTTGGAAAATTTAAGTGTGTTTATATTCCATGTTTCATATAAAGTAGTAATTTAAGCCAATTACATTGCCTCCAAATTATGATCATTTTTTCTTATTCCAGGATGTTTAAGAATTGAATAGAATACAGTTGCTATTTTCAGCCACAGATTAAATGGCTAGGCCAAATTCTTAAAATAATTAAATTTTCCCATATAGTAATATTACCCTACTCTAAATGCAGTATATATATAGAGAGAGACATTGATAAGAATACTTTACTCTCACACACTCACATTGTGCTCACCATAATCCTATCTCAGTCGTTACTGCAATCTTCCTCATGCCACATAATGATGCAATCATAGTAATGAACTTAAAGACTAAAGTATAAAATGGATATAGACATAACATATACATTCATAGATATTTTATTCATTTTTTACTATTTAAGTAACATTTATACAATACATAATATGAATGTACAGATGTGTGCAGATATAGATGTCAATACTTCTACCATGTTTCATGTGTAGGTTTGCAAGCAGTAGAAAGATTCAAAAATATAGTTGTTTGTCTTCAAGCACTTACATTGGGAAATAAGATATAATAAGTTGGTCCTAAAGTAGTGCTAATAAATGCTTTTTCCTCTGAGGATTTGCAAGTTGTGTGATAATTATCCATTTCCTTCATCGAGGAATAACAAAAAATTTGGAGGAAAATGGCTTTAGGAAGAAGGCCTTGAATATATGTTCTTTATTGCTGCTCCCTGTTCGCCATTTATATGGTTAAGATGCAGAATTAGGCAGTAGACCACACAAGTCACATGTTGAGTCTATAAAGCAAAGATACATAAATTCAGCTGTGACTCAGTCATCTCCTACCAAAAGCAGCCAGTAGGTCATTCACTGGACAACCAGACTGGAACAGAATATACTGTGCAGAAATAGTTTTTGCCTTCTTTCCACAGACACCTTGCAGTAGTTGAGCACATTCTGTCTTGGAAGCAGTAAAGCTACAAAGGCTTCTTACAAGAATGAAGAGTTGAGCAGTTTAATTTATGTTTATTTTATGTCTCTTTGTTTTTAAGTCTCCTCAACAGGGAAATGTGTTAACATCAGATGTGGTGTATTTATTAAGAATCCCAAGTGGCAAAGTGGTTATCTTGGAAGAAAAAAGAATAAAGATGCCAATCAAACTGAAAGAGCCCATGCCAAGGCTCATGTGGTGGAACAAGAAACTAGATGGCATCTAACGTAATTTGATTGTGTCCCCACTCAAATCGCATCTTGAATATTTGCTTTCATAATTCCTTCATGCTGTGGAAGGGACCCAGTGGGAGATAACTAAATCATGGGGGCAGTTTCCCCATACTGCTTTCATGGTAGTAAACTTTCTAGAGATTTGTTGAGTGGCTTTGACCAAAATGCTGATAATGGTATGGACGATGAAATCCAGGTTGAGATGGTCTCAGATGGAGATGAGGAACGTTTTGGGAACTGGAACAAACTTGTTGGGAACTGGAACTTGTTATGTTTTAGCAAAGAATCTGGCGGCATTTCACCCTTGCCCTAGAGATTTGTAAAACTCTGAACTTGAGAGAGATGATTTAGGGTATCTGGCAGAATAAATTTCTAAGCAGCAAAGTATTCAAGATGTGACTTGGGTGCTGTTAAAGGTATTCCATTTTACAAGGAAAGCAGAGCATAAAAGTTCAGAAAATTTGCAGCCTGACCATGCGATATAAAAGAAAATCCCATTTTCTGAGGAGAAACTCAAGCCAGTTGCAGAAATTTGCATATGTAACACGGAGATAATATCTCATTGTAGTTTTGATTTGCATTTCTGTCATGATCAGTGATGATATAAGCATCTTTTCATTTATTTGCTGGCAATCTGTATGTCTTCTTTTGAGTAATGTCTATTAAAATCTTTTGCCACCAGATATGGTGGCTCATTCCTGTAATCCCAGCACATTGGGAGGCTGAAGTGGGCAGATTATTTGAGTTTAGAAGTTTGAGCCTAGGCAAAGGACAAAACCTCATCTCTACAAAAAAATACAAAATTAGCTGGGCATGGTAGCACATGCCTGTTGTCCCAGCTACTCAGGAGGCTGAGGTAGGAGGATTGCTTGAGCCCAGGAAGTTGAGGTTACAGTGACAAAAAAAAGGAAGAAAAGAAGAAAAAGATCTTTTTGTCTTAGAATTCAGGTTTCTTCCATTGTTAAAAATATAGTTATCTTTTGTCTAACCTAATAGAAAGTAAGTACACAGAGTGAAATATTGCAATCAATAAAAAACATGTTACAGCCAGGCACGGTGGCTCAAGCCTGTAATCACAGCACTTTGGGAGGCCGAGGTGGGTGGACAGCGAAGTCATGAGATCGAGACCATCGTGGTCAAAATGGTGAAACCCTGTCTCTACTAAAGATACAAAAAAAAAAAAAAAAAATTAGCTGGGCATGGTGGCGCGTGCCTGTAATCCCAGCTACTCGGGAGGCTGAGGCAGGAGAATTGCCTGAACCCAGGAGGCAGGGGTTGCAGTGAGCCGAGATCGCGCCATTGCACTCCAGCCTAGGTAACAAGAGCGAAACTCCGTCTCTTAAAAAAAAACAAAACAAAACATGTTACAAATAACATTATTTATTTGTAAATTGAACCCTTTATCTTTAAGGGTAATAATGAGAATACTGAAATTTGTATTAAATCTACTTTTGCTAGTATGTTCATTTCAGTTTCTGGATTCTCAAGACAATTTTATGAAGTTTATATTACTTTTCCCACTATTTTGATGAATATACCGATGTCTGGAAGGTTAAGTAATTTATTCAAATTCCATATTTAATAGAAAGTAATAATTTAGTCAATTAGGTTGCCTCCAAATTATAATCATTTTTTCTTATTCTAAGATGTTAAAGAATCGAACAGAATACAGAATAAAATCACTATTTTAAAGAGAATATGAACAGTTTAAGTGGCTGCCAGGATTCTTAAAACAATATTACAACTTGCCCTAATATAACAATATTATCCCCTATATATGCACCATATAGACAGTGATAATTATACTTTACACACATACAATCTTATTGTTCTTACCAAAATCCTACTCAGTAGTTACCATAATTTCTTTCACACACGTAAAAAAGCAGGCAGTCATCAAATTAGAATTTAACTTTGATCATATAGAAGCGGAGAGAAAAACAGTAGTTACCAGAGGCTGGGAGGGTCAGGGAGGAGGGGGCCTCTGACCAAACATAAAATGTTTGGAGGCCGAGGCAGGTGGATGACGAGGTCAAGAGATCGAGACCATCCTGGTCAACATGGTGAAACCCTGTCTCTACTAAAAATGCAAAAAATTAGCTGGGCATGGTGGTGCATGCCTGTAATCCCAGCTACTCAGGAGGCTGAGGCAGGAGAATTGCCTGAACCCAGGAGGCGGAGGTTGCGGTGAGCCGAGATCGCACCATTGCACTCCAGCCTGGGTAACAAGAGCAAAACTCCGTCTCAAAAAAAAAAAAAAAAAAAAAAAAAAAAAAATGTTTTGTAGTGAGTACAAAGTTACAGTTAGATAGGAAAAATAAGTTCTGGTGTTCTATTACATAATAGGGTAATTATAATTAATAATAGTATAATGTATGTTACAAGATAACTAAAAGAGAGGTTTTTGAATGTTTTAACCACAAAGAAATGATACATTTTTAAAGTGATGGATCTGTGAATTGCCCTGATTTGATCACTATACAATATATGCATACACTGAAATATTACATTGTACCTCATAAACACGCAGACTGATTTGATGTTAATTATAAATAAAACACAACTAAAAAAAGAAACTATAGTGAAGGAAATACAAAGTTAATGGTGTCCAGGTATGATGTATGCATTTATTATATATGTACATAATTTATGTATTGATTTTTGAGCCACAAAAACATGGAAAGATTACAGTCTAAACACTTACATTGGGAAAGAAGAAATAATAAGTTGGTCCCAAAGTAGCACCAAAAAATAAGTTTTCCTCTGAAGATTTGAAAGGTGTGTGGTTATGAGCAGTTTCATTCATGGATGACTCACAAAGAAGTTGTTGGAGGAAGATGGTTTTAAAAAGAAGGCCTTGAATATGTGCTATTTTTTGCTGCTCTGTCTGCCAATACAGTTAAGATAGAGAATCAGGCAATAGATTTTGCAGGTGGCATGTCGAAATAACAATATAACGCCCAGGTACGCGGACAAGATGGCGGCGGCAGCGGTCTACAGCGCGATGGAGGTGGTGCGGCCTCTGGCGGAGGAGGCCGCGCCGGAGGCGGTGGGCCTCAGCTGCCTCGTCAACCTGCCGGGTGAGGTGCTGGAGTACATCCTGTGCAGCGGCTCGCTGACGGCCGCAGACATTGGCCGTGTTTCCAGCACCTGCCAGCGGCTGCGCGAGCTGTGCCAGAGCAGCGGGAAGGTGTGGAAGGAGCAGTTCCGGGTGAGGTGGCCTTCCCTTATGAAACACTACAGCCCCACCGACTACGTCAATTGGTTGGAAGAGTATAAAGTTCGGCAAAAAGCTGGGTTAGAAGCTCGGAAGATTGTAGCCTCGTTCTCAAAGAGGTTCTTTTCAGAGCACGTTCCTTGTAATGGCTTCAGTGACATTGAGAACCTTGAGGGACCAGAGATTTTTTTTGAGGATGAACTGGTGTGTATCCTAAATATGGAAGGAAGAAAAGCTTTGACCTGGAAGTACTACGCAAAGAAGATTCTTTACTACCTGCGGCAACAGAAAATTTTAAATAATCTGAAGGCCTTTCTTCAGCAGCCAGATGACTATGAGTCATATCTTGAAAGTGCTGTATATATTGACCAGTACTGCAATCCCCTCTCTGACATCAGCCTCAAAGACATCCAGGCCCAAATTGACAGCATCGTGGAGCTTGTTTGCAAAACCCTCCGGGGCATAAACTGCCGCCACCACAGCTTGG